GTTGATGGTTTCTTGGGAAGAGCTGTCCTTGGTACAACGTCACAGGCAAGGCGGAAGAACAGGCCTGGCCAGGGGGCAGGTGGCTCATCCCTGAGGGGCAGGCCAGGCAGGCTCCCTGGGTCTAGGCCTGCAGTTGGGTGAGGCGACAGACACCAGCACCCTGCTCACTGTCACTTGGGGTCATTGGGCTCCTCTCAGTACCTCCAGGGTCCCCGGAAGGATAGGCAGGGGCCAGCCAGCTTCCTCTTCTGCAGCTTGGGCCTGACCGAGTCGCTGCCCCAGGCTGGTGGTCAGTGAGTCACCGGATAAGGTGCTTGCACCAGGAAGCACAGGGAGCCTTGACCGCTGCTCTCAGTCCCTGCTTCACCCACATCTGCCCTGGGCCCCAGGCCCCAGGCCCCAGCCCAGCCAGAAGGACAGCTCCAGACCAGACAGTGCTGGGGGCTGGGCCGAGGTCCTGGCTTCGGATACCAGCTCTGCTCAGCCACCTGGAGCCCATTCTTCACCTCACTGAGCCCCTGTGTCTTAATCTGTAAAATTCAGGCCAGGCTGAAGGCCAGCTGGGGAGGCCAGAGAGGCTTCTGGCACCCTCAGGGCTTGGGGTGCTAACTGGGGGCCCACCCTGGCCGTGGGTTGAGGCGTGGGCAGCAGAGGGCCCTGGCTCCAGGTGGTGCTGACCAGAGTTGAATTCTGCTTTGTGGCCCAGAGCTGTGTGGTCTTGGGCAGGTTGCTCAGCCTCTCTGGCCTGGATTTCATCCTGCTAATATCAGAAGCCTGCAGGGCTGTGTCGGGGAGCACTTGCCCTGGCCTGGCCTGGTGCCCCGGTGGGCTGTGCCTACAGCAGGGGCCCCTTCCTGATGGGGAAGCCACGCTGTCCCGCGGAGCTCACACGTGGTCTTAGGCTCTGTGTCCACAACAGCCTCCCTGGAGCCTGTCCCCGGTCACTCTGGACTGGCTGGTCCATCTGGGGGTCCACGGGCTCCACCTAGCACCCCACCTTACCTCCGTGCTCTTGGGCTACAGCCTGGGGACCAGGGTCCTCTGCTGCCCGACTGCCGGGGTACTGCAGGCCCCTCGGTGGGGCCTCCGAGTCCCAACAACCCAGGAGGTGTCCTGTGGGAAGCATTTCCCCGGGACTGGCCCCTGGCTTTCTCACCTCCTTCAAAGGAACGCAGGGCCCGAAGGCCTCTGGCCCCTGGTCTACTCAGCCATATCCCTGGCCCCAGGCACCCCCAGCCCCTCACACTGGCCTCCTGGGAGTGGCTCTCAGCCCAGAACACGCCTGCTTCAGGGCTGTTTCCGCTGCCCCCAACGCTGGCATGACGCACCCCCTTATCCACTTCAGGCCCTTCCTCAGGTGCCACTTCTGTGTGCTTCCATTTCCAACACATCCCCAGCCCGTCCTGGCACCCCAGCCCCTCCCTGGGTTATTTTCCTCTCTGAGAGTATTCGTCACCACCTGATCTTCTACATCCAGTTTTTGTTTGTTTTGTTTAACACAGGGTCTCCCTCCCTGTACAGTACAAGCTGGCCTTAAACTTGTGGGGATCCTCCTGCCTTAGCCTCCTGGGGGCTGGGATTACAGGGGTGTGCCACCAAGCGCCGCTCTCCATTGGTTTTTGGTTTCTTGTCTCTCCCTACACCTCCAGTGGCCATCAGCACCCCCAGAATGTCCCCTTCACGAGGACAGGATTTCTGCATGCTGTTCCCTGCTATGTGCCCTGCTTGGCACACATCTGTGGAATGGCTGGGTCTGGGAGTGTGGGCCTGGCATGTCCCGGGGCTGGGGAAGGCTCTGTGGTTTGGAATCGCTGTGTAGACTGTGGCATGTGGGGCCCTTTGGATGCCATAGCTGGCTCAGCAAAGGGTCATGGCGGCAGTGAGGGCAGCATGGCCGGAAGTGGCTGGTCCAGCTTTCTGGCCTGCATTATGTGGGAAGAAAAAGAATCACATTCCCGGAACCCCTGGGTGGGTGCCAGAGCTTGAGGGAGGGACGTGGGGGGCCCTGCCTGCGGGTGGGGTGCCAGGGTCACTAGGTCAGTGTGATCAGGAGCTGGGGTTTGGGACCAGGCCTGAGGAGATGTCCTTAGGGCCCCAACACCTGCTACGGGGTGGGGTAGGGGAGGCCACTACCTGGGCTGAGCCACCGGTCCTGCCAGGCAGGGGATGCTTTCCCCCAGGGGCCTGAGCCAGTGGCAGGGCTGCCAGGGCCACCAGCTCACCTGATGTCCATCTGTTCATCTGCTCCCAGTGCTCACAGTCCACGTGCCCATGGGACATGTGTCCTTCTGCTGGGGTTTTTCTCCTGCTGTGCTGTACGCAGAGGGTGGGTTCAGCCCTTTGTGCCTCTGTGTCTCCTGCGTGGGCCTTGGCACACAGTGAGCACTCTAAAGGCTGGCTGGCTGGGTGGCTGGACATGAAAGCCCCATTGGGGAAGCACCAGGTGGTGAAGGCAGCTCGAGGAGGGGCTTGGGTGGGCCAGGAGGAGGCCGGGAAGGTTTGCTCCAGAACCCCTCCTCCGAGGGGGCAAGGGGCTCAGAGGGGCTGGGCTGGACACTGGAAATAAAAAAGCCAGCTGGGCCAGGCATGGTGTTGAACGCTTTAATTCTAGTACTTGGGAGGCTGAGGCAGGAGGATCGCTGTGAGTTCAAGGCCAGCCTGGGCTACATAGCGAGACCTTGTCTCAAAAAACAAAGCCAGCTGGTGGGCGCTGTGGCACACACTTATAAGCCCCTCACTCTGGGAGGCTGAGGCAGGAAGATCACAATTTTCAGTCCAGTTTGGGCAACAGAGAGACCCTAAAAAAAGGGGCGAGTGTGTAGCTCTGTGCAAAGGTGTTGGATTCAATCCCCAGAACAGCAATGAATAAATAAATTAAATAATTAAAAAATAAAAAGCTTTCACTCCCTGTACCACAGGAATGGAGAGTCCTCACTGGATCCCGGTGTCCCGCGCCTCTCCGGAGCAGTCCACGAGCCAGCCCCGTCCGGCCCCGGACTCCCGCAGCCCGCACCGCGCACGCGGGCTGGTGACCGGGCGGCTCGCGGCGACCTCGGCCAAGCGCAAGTATGCGAGTTGGCGCGCCCCCTCCCGCCTCAGGCGGGCTGGGGCCAACGGGTGGCCGTGTCTGCCCGCAGCGCGCAAGCGCCCTCTGGTGGGGCCCGTGGCCCGGTTCTGCTCTTCCCTACGACGGGGCAGGAACAGTGCAGCTAACTGGGAGGACCAGGAGTGGAAGGGCTGGGCACCGACGAACACTGAGGGTGTGGAACCCGCCCGGGGCCACACAGCTGGTGGGCAGAGGCCCCTGGCCTGGAGACCGCACTGGGAGCCGGTGATGAGGAGGTGATGAGAAGCCCGCCCCTCACTGGCGCGCTCCCGACTTTCCAGCCCTCACTCACACCTGAGTTTTTATTGAGCACCCACTGCATGCCAGACTCTGGGAGATCGCAGAGACACAGCAGCGAACACAATAGGGCCTGGCCCTGCCTTCTTGCAGCTGACGTTCCAGTGGGGTGGGGAGAGTGCAGACAATGTCCGTAAATACCATTATCAGCTGCACAGAGGCCTCTCGATAAGCGCGGCAGTCCCCGTCCCAGCCACACGCCCACCTCAACGTGATTTTTAGCCACGTCCAAGCCTTACGTGGCGTTTGCTTCTAGACACTTGGCTTTGGCCTCGATGCCTCAGGGGAGGGAGCTTCCCATCCCACCTCCTGTCCCCAGTATCTGTGGTCAGCATCCCGAGGGTGGGGCGTCATCGTCACTCTTGAATTAGTCGCTGCCCCTGCGTGGCATCTCCGGCCCCACTGCAGGGCTCCGTAGGTCAGAGGACACTGTCAGCGCCCTTCGGAGGACGGGGCAGCTGCTTCGTGCCATGTGCAGAGGCCTCAGTGCCAGCCAGCTGGCCATGGCCATAGGTGCGGTTTGTCCTGAGGTCTGGCACCTAAAACTCTGCCTACAGGGCGGGCACCGAATCTAGGCCCGAGGGATGGCTAACATCCACCTGTCCGGGGTCCTTCTTGGGGACAGGGTGACAGCAGGAAGCAGCTGAGCTCCCCAGGTGACTGACCGCAAAGCAGCACGAACCCCTCCCAGCCCACCGGCATCTTTTCTCCCACACCAGGGAGAGTAAAGCTTCGCCAGCTGACTCTTAACTTCTGGCTGAGCAAGGGGAAGGCCCTGAGGCTGAGCCAACTTCCTCTGTGGCTCGGTGCGGTGCTCGGGGGACAGGGACACAGGCCAGAAGGAACATGACTATCCTCTCACTCCTGAGGGGAAGGGCAAGAGGCCACACGGATCTGCTGCAGACAGGCAGGTCAGGTGGCCACACACCACCAGAGCAGCCAGGCAGTGAGAGAGCCCGCCGCGTCTCCACCCTGAGGGACCCAGCCTGTGGAGACCCCTGTCTGCTTTCCTGCTCGCCAGCCTGAGGGGGCACTTTCTGCACCTGTGGCTTTGCCATCTCAGGACACTGAGGAGCCCTCCCTACCCCTAAATTCCTAGGTGAAAACACGGACAGTGCAGGAGGACCTGGTGACAGGAACAGGGGCTTGGAGCCCACTAAGCAAAACCTTCTCTCTATAAAAAGAACTTTCACCCCAGGCAGTGGCACATACTTGTAACCCCAGCACTCTGGGAGGTGGAGGCAGGACCCCAACTCCCAGCCAGCCTGAGCAACTTTTGGAGACTGTCTCAACATTTAAAAAGGCCAGGATGTGGCTGGATGAGAGGCCCTGGGTCCAGTCCCCAGTACCGGCACTTGGCCAGGGAGGGGCATTCCATGAAATGACAAATACTGTACTCTGTTTTGAGTTTTACCAATACAAATTTTGGCAGAAATTTTGTTTTCTCATTATAGAAGCACTTATGTAAAGAGCCCCAACTTTGCCTGTTAGTCTGAAAATCCTAAATATTCTTCCACAAAGGGCTGAACCCCACAGCATCTGAAACATTAAATTCTGTCCCTAATTAATATGCCGAGAGGAAGAAGGGCACAGCCTATTAAATATTAACGCACACTTTATTATATTAAAATCAGGCAATGGTCTGACAATAAAAAGGCTGCTTATGGAATACTGTTAAGTGAAACTTTACTTAGAGGATGTTAAATCCTTAGAACTAAGGTTTCCCCCAGAAAAAGATGAATGGAAACATCTTTGCTTTTCAGACTTGACAGTTACTGTTTCAAAAGGTGGTTTTACACAGTTTAAAAAAAAAAAAACCCTCCGGAACAGCATGAATTGCCTTTATTTCAGTACGCATCCACATCTCAGCATTTAGTGGTCCTGAACAGAAAGTGGGAAGCACAGCAGGTGCCAGAGACCAGGCCTGCCAGTCCCAGGTCCGCTGCACACCGAGCCGCTCCTTAGTCTCTGCTGAGCATCTGAGAAGCAGCAGCACCAAAGCCAAAGTCCGCACCCGGCCAGGTTCCTTGTTCCAGCTGTCAGATTCTGAACTAGACCCAAATGGAGGCAAGGGTGACCGCACAATGCCCGTGTAGGCCTTCTTCAGCATCTTGAAGTGAAGTGCGTATGAGGAAAGGGAACCATCCAGAGGGACTGCGTGTGCTCAGTGTCCTCGTGTAGCCTTGCTCCGGGCCTGCCCAACAGGGATGGGGCACTGGCAGGTCTCTGCTCTTGGCTGACGGTGACAGCAGGTGGCAGAGCCCAGGATTCATTTCCCAGCTGGTGGAGAACAAATAAATGTGGTTCCAAAACTACATGAGGGCGGTCAGACTCTTTCCAACCTTACCTGATGGCTTCTGGCCAAAGGAAGGGTTGTGGACAGGTGGAAGGAAGGGTAGTGACAGTGACCAGGGAGAGGAGGAGGAGGGAAAAGCAGCACCCCTCAGTCAAGGTGGGGGAGAGAAGGAGGAAAGCCCTGAATTCCTCACCGAAGGCCAATTTCAGAGGGGAACAGAGGGTTACAATCTATGGTTTGGCCAAGGGTGGGAGTGGAAGAGAGCGGGACGGGTTGATGGCTTGGAAGGGGCGTCATTTAAGACTTAAGAAAGAAAGCAGGGTGCAGGCAAAGCACCCGCACACCCAGCAGTAGTCCCACAGGCTGCGACCTGAAACCTTCACATCTCCTCAACCAGCCGGCCCAGGCCAGGGCTCCAGGGGCGGAGGCGGCAGGGAGGGGAGCAGGCGGAGCCCCGGGCCGTGTCATCAGCAGCAGGGTGATTGTGTGATGTGTCCTTTCACAGTCGAGCTGGACGTGCCCCACCAGTCATAGTGGGAATCAATTTAAACATACTTTCTTGATCCCAGAAGTTCAACTACCTGGACAGTGGTTACACTTGACAGGATGATTTGTTATAGCACAACTTATGTATTTCAAATGGACAAAAAATTAGTATCATTTACAGTATCTTAGGGTAAACTGCCTTTCAATGGGAGCTTCCTTTCCAGTACTTTGAGGTCTATAAGATGTAACTAGAAAATTTACTACTGTGGAAAATGAAGACCGATGAAGTGGAATTGGGGGTGGGGTGGGGGAAAGGGCCTGTGGGTTTTTGATTAATTGCTGTAACACTGTCCTTCAGGCGGCTGAGGAAGTTTCATATTTTCTTTAGACATCATTAAGCGCCGAAGCTCTTGTAGCACAACTTTGATGCTATATGAATTCTGCCATTTTGCTAGCACTGATATGGCTCTTGGGTCCACCTACAAAAAAAGGAAACAAAACAAATGACTCTCAGCTCCAGAACACAACAGTGGCCTGCTGGGGCCGAGCTGTGGGTACAGCGAGAGCACAGTGTGCTTGCCAAGCTGAACGTGGTCACAAAACGACTTGTGAGGTGCTGAACACCCACCTGCAGGATTCCCTTCCTTTGGGCAGTCTGCTGTTCCTTTCTGTGTCCCAAGTTGAGAGAAGGAAAGGGTGACACTGGTTCTTGGTGAGACTCAACCCAAACCAAAGTGGCTCACAAAAGAAAAACTGCTTCCAGCTGGGTGGGGCCATACCCAGGACAGGAAGGACAGGAAGGCCCTGGAGGCCCAGACCGAGCCCATCTCTCAGTCAGAGCAGCATTTCCCAAAGCAGGGCGGGGCCGGGACATGAGGGGCGAAGATGCCACACTGTGCACAGACAGCAGTGGCAGGGATGTCTCCTCAGTCTCCTGGCAACCATTCTGCGCTGCCCAAGGCCAGGGGCTGGGCACAGCCCTCCAACACTGCAGACCCCTCCTCTGCAAGCTGTGTATGCAGTAGGGATGTACCGAGGATGGGACACTTGCCCAGCACACACAAGGCCCTGGGTTCCATCACTAGCATCATGAAAAACAAAACAAATATAAAATCTGCAATCTTCTGACAGTCATGTTGCTGTTCAAAAAGCTTTTAGAGCCGGGTGTGGTGGTGCACAGCTGTGTCCCAGCACTCGGGAGGCTGGGGCAGGAGGACTGCTACAGCCAGCCTGGGCTACACAATGAGTTCAAGACTAGCCTGGACTACACAGTGAGACCCTGTCTCAGAAGCACAAAACAGATGGGAGTGGTGGTGCACACCTGTAATCCCGGCACTTGGGAGGCAGAGGCAGGAGGATCGCCATGAGTTTGAGGCCAGCCTGAACACAAAGCGAGACCTTGTCTCACAAGAAAAAAACAAAACCAAAACGTTTTTAGATTTTGGAGCATTTTGGATTTCAGATTTTGGGATTCGAGATGTTCACCTTATAAAAATGAGTTTAACAGGCTGGGGATTTAGCTCAGTGGTTCTGCTGCCTGCTTCACAAGCGCAAGGACCCGAGTTCGATCCCCCGTACCAAAAAAAAAAAAAAAAAAGAAAAAATGAATTTAACAAACAAGTCCAATAAAACAAATAGTTAAGGCCCAGGAGGTAAAGGTGTGGGCAAGACCTTTCACTTCTGCGCCTTAGTTTCCTCAAGTCTACCTCAGGGGGCTGTTGTGGGGACTGGAAGTGCTCCTCAAGCGGCCAGCAGAGAGCTGGGCAGTGAGCGCAGACACACATGGTATAACCGGCCACAGCAACCCCCAGCCCGATGCTAAGCACAAAGCAACTCTCAACCCACAGGAATGAATGAGCAGGAGCAGAAAAAACCACTTACCACTCCATTAGAACTATTAACTCCATTCATATTAATTTTTGTTACAAATCTTACAAAGGGGGGTGCTTCTGGGTATTTAGGTCCACATTCTATTTTAAGGCTGTATATTCGGTTTTCATAAATTGTCTGGAAAAAAAGGGTACAGAGATAACAGGTAATTACAAACAAAGAACAAAAGAGATGCACTTACGAAGCCCCATTTACTGCTGACAAACTCGGGGTGCCCTGCTTCCAGCACAGTCCACTGTCATGTGCAAGTCAGCAGGACCCTGCTCCTACCCCGGCTTACATGGATTCTGGGCACTGGGGGAATAAACGGCAGCAGAACAGGGCCAGGGATTTAGCTCAGTGGTGCTGCACCTGCTTCGCAAGCGCAAGGTCCTGAATCCAATCCCTGGAACGGGGTGGAGGGGAGCAGTAGAACATTTAAGTGCCATGAGGTTTTGAGTTGGGATCAATGAGTCCAACCGGAGGGACCACTGTGAGGAGACATTGGTCACTGCAGGGAGCCACACCAAGTGTCCATTCACACAGAGTCCATGGCCGTGCATGAAACACCACTGTGTGAGAGGCAGGACACTCGGGCTGGCTGCTGCCTAAGGGAGCCCCGCTGTGTGCCACCCTCCCTGCGGCCTCTTTCCTTGGCAGTTAGGATGATGCGAGAGCTCATTGGCTTTTAGTGGGGGAAGGGGGAGGCTGAAGATCCCAGGCCCACATAAGAAAAGCCAGTCCTTAAAATGCCAACTATGCCTTTGTTGAGGAACAGAGAAAGCCCAATCTCCACACCAGGGACCTTTTCACTGTAATGCCCACCCAATGGCCTGAAGACCCAATCCAAGCATCACCTGGTCCTGAAGCTTCGGTCCTATCTGAAGACCACACTGCAGGGCACCCTCCCCATGACAGCTGACCCCTGGAGGACAGGGCTGCCCTCCTGTGAGTCCCTTTAAGGCAGTGGTGCCCCTTTCTCAGTAGGAGTCTTGTGCTGCACAAGCAACTGCTGCTGCATCAGCAACGACATCTAGTGGTTCTCGGGCTGGGGGCACAACCTACCAAGGAGGTCATTACACTCTAGAGAACGTGACAAAAGTGACCCCCGGATGAAAAGCTGAAACATATTTTAAGGCTCATAAATCGTTAGCATCTTAGTCATTTTCCAAGCGAGGAAAACCGAAACTCAAATCTCCACTCACCCTCACCCCATAGCCCTTTCTTCCTAGAAGTGGCATCACCACCCATCCGGTGAGTTCCTGCAGAAGCTTAGCAGCCTCCGTTCCTTTTCCCTCCGGACCTCCAAGATACCCCACATCTCCCACCAAACCTTGCTGTCACCACATGTGACCACCCCACACCTGCTTCTCCTCAGTCCCTGCCTCCTCTCTGCAGCCCCTCTGGCCTCCTTATTCCTCTTCCAATGCACCAAGTTCTCCACCTTGAGGCCGCAACGGGCCCATGGACCCCTGGGGACTGGAGCTCCCTGAACATAGGGCCACCTGCAGGGCTCCACGGGGCTCTCCAGGCTCACTTGGTGTGTGCTGAGTGAGTGAATGCCGCTCTTCACACTTATAAAATGACCACAATTAAGGTGTTTCCTCAAAGGAAGAAAAATCCCTCAGAAAAGAGAACAAGTAGGAAGCAAACAAGGGCTCAGCTGACATAGCAATCTATGGAAATGCTAACAAAAGACCCACCCTCAGCACCCAGTACCGGCCCCACCAGCACCACCTACTCAAGGAACTGCTAACTGACTGCATCCAGGGCCAGCTCTCATGTCACTGGGTTTTAACCACACAACCAAAAGACAGTTCCTTATAAGAGGTTTTTTTTGGGGTTTTTTTTTGGTACCAGGGATCAAACTCAGGACCTTGCGCTTTCAAGGTAGGTGCTGAAACCACTGAGCTAAATCCCCGGCCCAATACAAGAGTTTCTTTTGGCGGGTATGAGCTTGTGTGTGGTAATTACCAAAATCAGAATCTTTAAAATTCCTTTTTTTTCAGTGCGGAGGCTGGAACTCAGCCTCACGCACTAGGGTAAGTGCTCCCCCTGTACCCTGCACCCCTCCTAAAATCCTGCTATGTATCCTAGAGCCATCGGTCTGCATGCTGGGGTTATCAGTGCTGGTCAGACCTCACTCCTCCTCCTGTCTACAGCTCAATAACAGGTTCTGACTACTGCACAGATCAGACCTCAACACTACTGTTCACACTGTGAAGTTAAGGGGTCATCAAAAGGCCCAAGAAAGATTTTCTTTGTAGAAAACATGGTTTCTGGTTTTCTTGTTTTATTTTATTCACAAGTGCTCTAGGTACCTGCTGAAAGGTATCAGCCAAGGAAGAAAATGTGCCTAAAGGAGAAGTGCAGGAACGTCCTGTTCAGGTGAGGAAAACTGCTCCTGATTCATCATCTGGCTTAAGGAGATGGAAATGCTAATTATTGCCACTGGGTCATGACATTATGGCACCCAACACCATAAATATGTACAACTACCGCACTTCAACAGAAACAGGGTATAGCTCACTGGCAGAGCACTTGCCTAGCACGTGTGAAGCAATGGGTTCCATTCCCAGTACTGGGGAGGGGGTATGTGTCAATGAAAAATACCTAAAGAAAGAGATTCGTTATTTGATCATGAAACAAACACTTTCCACTTGATGACATGGCTTAAGTGTCATGGGGCAATATGGCAGTGTCCATCAAAATGTGACACAATACACTCAGATCAAGTCCATTTCTGTCATTTCCCACAGATAGATTCCTACCATCTGCTACAGCTAAAATAACAATAAACCACTAACCGTGACCCGCAGAGGACCGACCACATATACACAGCTCACACGCACACAGGTGAAGACTGCAGGACACAGCAGACAGCACCTGCCTCCGACAGGGTGGACTTGTGCACTCGGGCTCTTTCACCCACTGGGATCTACAGGCCCGGAGCTTGGGGATTATAAGGTTTTCCTGGGCCTAAAATATATATTTTGAGATAACCCAGTCTAACCACAAAAAAACAGCCGCAAATTCCAAGAGACGAAATACCTGACCAGTACTCCTCCAAACTGTTAAGGGCATCAACACAAGAAAAACCTGAGAAACTTTCATGGCCACGGGGAGCTTGAGATACGATGGCTAAATGTAATGTGGGATCTTGCATAGGATTCTAGAAGAAAAACAAACATGAGGTAAAAACTAAGAACATGTAAATAAAGCATGGCCTTTAGCTAATGATAACGTATCGCAACTGGTTCACAACAGGAAATCCGCATTAGGGAATGGTACACACAGAACTTTCTGTATCAGCTTTGCAACTTTTCTGTAAATCTACAAGTATTATAAAACAAAATTTATATTAAAAAGGTGTGAGATGAGATTAAGGGAAGAAAGTATTTTCTACAAAAATATATAAAGAAAATTAAATACATAAAAAGGCTATACAGGTCAACCAGTCAACTGTTAACTCAATTCTTAACAAATTAATTTTTTTTTCTTGATTTTTTTCCGGTACTGGGGATCGAACTTAGGACCCTGTGCTTTTGAGGCAGACTGCAGCGCCACCGAGCTACATCCTGGGCCCCTTTCTTTTGATTTTTTGAGACAGGGTCTTGCTCTGTGGGCCAGACTGGCTGAGAACTCACCACAACCTTCCTGCCTCAGCCTGAAAGTGCTGGAATTACAGGTATGCACCACCATACCCAGCAACAAATCAATCTTATCAAATTCAAATCTTATGTAGTAATATATAAATTATCTTTTTGGGGGGTTCTGGGGCTCAAACCCAGGGCTTTTATATGTCAAGCATGTACTCTACCACCGAGCCATATCTCCAGCCCTGTAAATTACAATCTCCACTTATAGGCTATGCTAGAGCAAAGTATGGGCCTTCTAAGAAATGACTGCAGAACCTAAGAAAACTGAATGGCTCAGAAAGCAGGTGGACCCAGAAGGAGCTGTGACAGGAGATGGCATACCACATTCAGTCCTGGCGGGAAGGGGTGGGGTTAGAAGGTCAGGTAGGGATAAGACACCACAATAGGTATTGTAAAACAGAATTTAGCCTAGGGAACTGATAAAACAGGTCTCAGTGGACTGAAAAATTACAAAAGGGAACCTGTGCTTACCCAAGGGGTGAGTGCAGGAGCACGTGGGGAAGCTGAAGTTGATCAGACTGGGCTGAGGAAGAGATCTCAGAGCTGCACTCACGAAGCCAGAACCCCACTGCCAATGCCAGGATGCGGGCTGTTACCAGAGCAGCCCAGGCAGAGTGACAGGCACAGGTGCACACAGCACTCCTCCCCTTAGCCAGAGCCCCAGCCGCCGTCTCCACACAGAAAGGCGGGCTGAGAGCTGACGGAATGCACACACCTCCCGCACAGTGACAAGGCACAACTGTCTCCACAGAGGGCAGAGGCCACCTTCCTGCCACTGCAGTTCCCTTCTGGGCCCTACAGGCCCCTCTTAGGCAATGACGCAGTTCTCTGAGCCAGTCCTAGTGCCAACTAAACCGAAAGCTAAATTGTCAAATTAATCATGATTGTAATTAAAAAATTAAAAGGAGAACACGGGCCCTTATTTTTTCCTGTTTGCTTGCTGCTCCTGTTGGGGTACCTCAGGAGGAGCCTCTCATCTTGGCGGCCAGAGCCAACTCCTACAACCAGCCTGGAGGCCCACAGCACCTGGAAGCCTAGCTTCCTCCCTGGCTTCCCGCTTGGGGGTGGTTACTGTTTTCTACAGTATCATCGTGTTCCTACACTGTGCCTTTTTTTGGTTTTTCAGTCCAACATCCATTTGATTAACTTCCATATTACATATCTTAGTTGAGATACCTAGTATGGGGCACATATCCAAAGGAAATGAAACTGCTTTTTTTTTTTTTGAGACAGGGTCTCACTATGTAGCTCGAACTTCCGGTGATCCTCCTGCCTCAACATCCCGAGTGCTGGGATTACAGGTGTGGACACCATGGCCGGTGAAATCGGTATCTTGAAGGGATAGGTTCCTTTTTTTCTCACTGTAGCACTACTTATAAGAGCCAAGATACAGAAACCTAAATGTCACTCACTGATGGACGAACGGATAAAAACACACACACACACACACACACACACACACACACACACACACACACACACACACACACACACACAGTGGAACATTCAGTCATAGACAGAAATCCCACCATTCAAAATAGCACAGATGGAGGACATTATACCAGTGAAATCAACCAGACCCAGAAAATTACTATATGATGTTGCTTATAAGCAGTATCTAAAAGCTGAACTCAGAGGCAGACAGCAGTTTGTTGGTTGCTTGGGGCTGAAGTATGAGGGAAATGGGTCAAAGGGCACAAACTTTCTGTTACAAGATGAGTCATTGGGTTATTTACTTGAAATTTACTAGAAGAGTACATTTTAAATGTCTTTGCTACAGAAGACAGACACAGTAACAAGATGGGTATGTTAATTTGATTATGGTATTTATTATACAATGTACACACCTATATCAAATCATCACATTGTACACCCTGAGTATATATAATTTTTTTTTTTGGTACCGGAGATCGAATTCGGGACCTTGTGCCTGCAAGGCAGGCGGCAGAACCACTGAGCTAAATCCCTGGCCCTAGTATATATAATTTTTATCCAGTCAGTTCCAACTCAAACCTGGAGGGAAAAAAACATCTGAAATGCTTTCTGTTTTCCTAACGCAAAAAATTAAGGACAACTAAGTTAGCCTCTTACTCTATACACTCAGCACTGTAGAATTTCTTTTTTTTAAACAAAAACAAACTCATGTATCAGTCATATAACCGAAGGCTATTTCCTTCCTTTTTCTTTTTTCTTATTTTATTTATTTATTTATTTTTATTTTTTGTACTGGGGATCAAACTTGGGTCCTTGAGCTTGCGCAGCAGGCAGCAAAACCACTGAGATAAATCCCCGCCCCCCCCTTTTTTGGGGGGGGGGACAGGGTCCTGTCATGTAGTCCAGGCTGGCCTTAAACTTGCAGCAATCCTCCTACCCCAGTCTCTGAGCACTGGGATTAGAGGTGTGCACCACCATGCCTGGTATTAAATTTTATTTTGTATTTTTTTTTTTGGTACTGGGATCGAACTCAGGACCTTGAGCTTTCAAGGCAGGCACTGGAAGCACTGAGCTAAATCCCTGGCCCTTAAATTTTATTTTGAGAAAGGGTCTCATCAAGTTGCCCAGACTGGCCTCAAACTCATGATGCTCCTGCCTCAGGCTCCCGAGTCACTGGGATTAAACACGTGCACCACTGTGCCTCTCTCTGAAACCTTCTTAAGAGAGATAGAAATAGGTCATGGATACAAAAAGATACCCACTACTGTAAGTGAAGATAACAAAGTTGCAAAACATGCATTGCAACATTGCATTTTTCTTAAAAAGAATGTTACAAGGGCCGCGGATTTAGCTCAGTGGTTTAGTCGCCTGCTGCACAAGTGCAAGGACCCGAGTTCAATCCCCAGTACCAAAAAAAAAAAAAGAATGTTACCTATCTTTGTGTACCCTTAGCAAAAGTAGACAGAAACAATAGGGCACTAGGATTTAGCAGTTTCCATGCTGAAAGAAGCTCCTGGAGAGGGGAGCGCTTTCCTCTCCCTCCACAAACTGGGAATCACGTGCTGCTCTACTGAAGCCCGGCCCTGCACTCTGGGAAAGCAGGTGCAGCAACACACATCTAGACTCTCATCCGTGCACAGAAACTGCCCCAGAGAACTCCACAGGCAGAGCAGCACTTTCCAACTAGAACGATTTTTGCTTCCCTGTCTGGAAAGGGGAATTCAGCATTTTCTGCAGGTATTATGGTTGTCACAACTGGGTCAGGGGTGCTACTGCCATCTAGTGAGTGGAGGCCAGAACACTACAAAATTTTAATCTATTGCACAGGAAGGTCCAACACAGAAGGCCATCCATTAGGGCTGGGGGGTGTGGCTCATGGTAGAGGGTTGCCTAGCATGTGCAGGGCTGCGGGTTTAATCCCTGGCATCAGAAAAACAAAAAACAAAAACAGAAATCCCCAGCAAAACACACACACACACACACACACACACACACACACACACACTATTGGCACTTCCATAGTTGCAGGAGAACGACTCCTCATCCAACTGCTGTGCAGGCAGATGCTCGTCAGGATGTGCCAAGGAGTACTGGAGTAGGGAGATTTGCTCTAAGGTTCAGAGGACCTGCTTTTCCTAAAGGGGGGGTAGGGGTGGCATCCAAATGGACACACATGTCCAGTATTTTGCTATCATTGACAATGCTGCAAGAAATAATTTTGTACACTGTCCTTGGTGATACATTCAGGAAAACTGGAGAGTAAATTCCTAGCAGAATTCCTAGGTTACATGGTATATGCTTTTTAAATTTTGGTATAGAATTTCTTCTTGAGAAAAACAATGTAAAAAATAAGATCAGTTAGGTGCTTTATTTAGATGCTTTAATAACTATGCCAATATTCCAACATGTATCTTGTATATTGATATCAAATAGGTTGGCCACAGGAAGCACCTAGAAGCAGGAGTTTGTTTTATGACTGTTTTTTTCTTTTGTGGTACCGGGTACTGAACTCAGGACCTTGCACTTGCAAGGCAGGCAGCGACGCCACTGAGCTAAATCCCTGGCATTATTACTGTTTTTAATCTTGGAGAAATAAGTTTTGCACCGTGGCAGTATTTTAGCCAATGAGTTTTATCCAAAGTGCAATTATTGCTAATTGAAAACTAATCTTGGAGAACCAGGCTAACCAAAACTATAGGAGCAAAGGGAATAAGATTTAGCTCAGTGGTTTCGCTGCCTGCCTTGCAGGCGCAAGGTCCCGAGTTCAATCCCTGGTACCAAAAAACAACAACAATAACAAAAAAACCCCCCAAAAAAGCCACAGAAGCAAAAGACAGTAAGATAAACAGTGTTCCCGAGGATGTGGAGAAACTAGAACCCCAATGCATTACTACTGGAAATGCAAAATGGTGCAATTGCTTTGGAAACTAGTTTGGCAGTTCCCCAAAACATTAAACAGTTAACAAATGATCTAGCAACACCACTGGATATATATTCAAGAGGCCAAAAATACACGGACACATAAAAACCTGTACACAAATGTTCCTAGCAGCATTAGTCACAGTTGCCAAAAGGCAGAACCAAAAATGTACACCAACTAGCCAGGTTTGTGGCACATGCCTGTTATTCTGCACTCAGAAGGCTGAGGCAGGAGGATCACTATATGAGTTTGGAGGACTTTGGCATATGATTTCACTCCCGTGAGTCTGTTTCTGCATCTGTAAAATGCAACACAGCTACACAGCAGAGCATATACAATAGGAACTTGTAAGACGGAAAATCAGATTTCTTGAGGGTTTACTACATACCCTCAAAAACAACTGGCTGGCAATACGAAGACCGGGAACTCACAAATCCAAAGCTCTGAAGAGGCCACTCCCCATCCCCTTTGCCTTGGTCTCCCTTGGAAGCGCCTCTAGGCCTCGCAGTGGCCAGAGCAGACCAGAGCTGACAGGCAGGCAATAAACCGTCACCAAAGGAGCAATGAATATGGATACAGGTGCACAGTAGACCGAAGCCGTGCATAAAAACCACAGCTGTGAAGGTTTCCCAGTTCATGTGGAGACTGGTTTCAGGAAGGCTGGCTCCCCCCACAGAGTCTGGTGATCTGATAAGCGCAAGAGTTTGTTGTAAACTACATCTGAAGGTAGAATGACCTTAAACCTCAGTCTGTGTTGTCATGTGAATTTACACTTGAGTCTAATAGGCTTTTGCTTACCATTTAGAGAGACGAAATGGCATCAGAGGAGGTTCAAATAAATAAACTGAAACTGGTCAAAAAAGAATAGCCACATTTCAGGAAATATACCATTGGTGACCTTTTTTCTTTTTTTTCTGGTACCGGGGATTGAACTCAGGACCTTGCGCTTGCGAGGCAGGCGCGTTGCCACTGAGCTACATCCCTGGCCCTTGGTGAGCTTTTTTCTGTGACAAGGCTAGTATGTTTTGAAAGGAGGTGCAGTGAATTAAGACAGTGACATTTATAGCCGCAGCGCGACGCTTACTCTTGGAGGCCCAATTACCATCCCTGTCCATCTTGTAAGTGTCATGTCTTCGTCATCTTCTAGACCCCAGCTAACTGTGCCATCTCCTACTCCTTTCTGGCCTTCTTCGAGTTCTTCCAACAGTCGGAAATTGCGAGGGACTTTTACTCCTAAAATAAATGGAAAGAAATTCAAGATACTAGCAACTCCAGGGGAACTTGTAAAATCTAGAGCTAGCTGCTCAGTACTGCTACCTGGGAATACAGATGCCAACATGCAGACAATTCCTGACAGCTGCCATACCTCAAGTGTGCCACTTACAAAGCTATCAGTGTCCACCAGCACAATGAGAGGGAAGTGGCACACGGTCTGTGAGTGGTGACGTGATCAGAGCTAGGTGACCAACCTGAGTCAACCCCACCAACCCTCTACTGACTCCATGACATGTTGACATGTTCAAAAGATCACTGTGGGTCCACTAATTCGAGATGAAACCACCAATACCAAGTGCCAACCAAAGCGTCCTGGAAGCAGAGGGCTATTTCTTTTGTTCTGTTATTACACACTTCTGAGCCTAAGGTTATGCTCATTTGTTGGTATGATTCTCAACCTTGGAAGGAATAGCTGGAATAGCCACCATGGGTATGTTTTATAAAGATGGTGTCCTTTTAATCAACTAAGATACCAAAGATAAAATTTTCAATTCTTTTTCAATTCTGGAAGCTACAGTTTCTAACTTCTGAAAGAACTAGAAGAAGAGAGCTAGCTGTCATTTCCAAAAATCCCAAAGCCCAGCAAGTAGCTCATGAAAGCAACACAAACACATCTCACAGATATGTGAGCTCAGTACCTGAGCTCAGCCTGAGGCTTGGGCCATGTCTAGGTATCTTCCAGAAAAGAGTCTAGGAGCTGAGGCCTTTGGGGCCAAGGCATGGGAGGGCAGGGAGATGGACTTTCTGAGCATGGCCATGGAGCCCCTCTCCCAGGACTGTTCTCCACCCAAAGCTGCTGGTCTTTGCTTCCTCCTCCCAGTCGCCCTGGCACTTGTATTTGTTCCCTGGAAGAAACCTGGGATCCAGACAAGCTACAAGCTCTCCTGCCTTGAATGCTGAGCCCACACCTGGCCAGACTCTCAGAGAAAGCAGGGCTTGCCACGTGCCAGTGAACAGAGGCCCATTGGAGGGACCCAAGACCGGGGGGAAGTTTCCCCAGGACACCAGACTTTCCCAAAGCACAGGACACTCATCACATCAACACAACTGGAACAAATATTGACCCCCACTAGCTAGCTATCTCTAACTATATCTATATATCTATATATTCCTGTCAGGTACTTTTCTAAGCACTGGGAACCAAGCAGTGAACAAAAGTGCCTGCCCTCAAGGGCTACATTCTAGTGGCAGGCATATAACTTACAAAATAAATACATGAACTACCTATAGGACAGTTTGTGGTGTTCAGAACAAGTAATGAGGGAGGGGCTACAATATTAATTGATGACCAAGGAAAGAGCTCTGGTGGTCATGTGCTATGACCACTTTGAGGGAAGGGAAGTGTCTTTGAGGCAGAGGGCCTAGCAAGTGAAAAGGCTCCGAAGGAGGACCTTGCTTAGTGTCAAATAATAGAAAGGGTCCCAACTTAGCTAAAAGCTATGAGGAAGAGCGCCAGGGATGCAGCTCAGTGGTGCCGCACCTGCCTGGCAAGCACAAGGTCCTGAGTTCAATCCTGACTACCAAGGGAAAAAAAAGCTTTGAGGAAGATCAAAGACACCAACAGTTCCTGAGTGACATGAGATGCTACTGGGGTCTGGAACTGAGCTAATGGGATTACTCTAACTGCTTGCAGAATGTAGTCAAGGGAGCAAAGGCAGCTGGGAGGCAGCAGGGAAGGGAGTGAGAAGTGGTATTTTAGAGGCTGAGCTGTCAGGTGGCCTTTGAAGTTGAGAGAAAGAAGTCAACTACAGTGCCCAGGGTTTTGGTCTAAGCAAAAAGGACAGAGGCATTAATGGTACATTATATGACTTTATTTTTATTTTTTTTGAGACAGGGTCTCACTATGTAGTAGTTCAGATTGGGGTTGACCTCACTATGTAGCCCAGGCTGGGCTCAACTCACAGCAATCCTCCTATTTCAGTCTCCCAAGTGTTGGGATCACAGGTGTGCGCCACTGTGTCTGGGATTATATGACTTTAGGTAGTATGTGATCAAATGTTTCATTTTACAAGCAATATATTTATTTTTAAGAATAATTTGCTGAGCATGGTGGCACACTTAGAAGTGGAAGAGGATTATAAATTTGAGGCCACCAGGGCTACACAGCAAGTTCCTGGCCAGCCTAACCTACATAGCATGGCCCTATCTCAAAACAAACAAAAAATACTGAATTAGGGACTAGGGTTTTAGCTCAGTGGTAGGACACTTTGTCTAGCATGCATGACGCTCTAGTTTTGAACCTCAGGACCACCCAAAACAAGTAAATAAATTCATACATGCAGACACACATATCTTAAGGCAAGTGATATTCTGATTTACCATTTACAATAATGGTCAATATTTCCTTTTAAAGTAAATGTAAGCAAAATAGTTGACTGAAAACTATTAAATAATAGTATAATATGGTGCTTCAAAGGAATCAATAAAAACTTAAAAGCATACTTGAATCACTGATTTGGAAAACACTGTCATTTTTCATTTAAAGAACAGCTAGCTGGACTATTCAGCTATGCTGGATTAGTTTCTTCGAGCAAAAACAAAAACAAAACAAAAAAATCCCCTGAAATTTAGGGCCAGGGATTTAGCTCAGTGGTTCCGGCCATCTGCCTTGCAAGTGCAAGGTCCCGAGTTCAATCTCCAGTACCAAAAACCCCCCCAAAACCTGAAATTTAAATCTTTAATAGTCCTAATTTGGATAGGAAAAAAAAATCATTGTGCATTAAGACTGCTTTAACTATTGGTTAATTTATAAGCTTGCACTAATGAAAACGAATGCCAAAGGAGCAGTCTCGCTGGCAGGAAAGCTGATGAGCGGCTGAGGTATTTGTTCCTGGAAACTGGAATGCAGGGCCGGGGCGTGGCTCAGTGATGGAGCACTGGCCTCCAGTGGCCCAGACCCTGGGTTGGATCCCAACACCAAAAACACACAAAGACAGTTATGATACATGTTGGAATTATTATATTATTATTATTTTGGTACCGGGGATCAAACTTGGAACTTTGCGCTTGCAAGGCAGGCGCCAGAACCACTGAGCTAAATCCCTGGCCCTATGTTGGAATTATGTTCCCTCTAATCCACATGTTGAAGCTCTAACTCCCAGTTCCTCAGAATGTGACTGAATATGGGCTTTAAAGAGATGCTCAAGTTAAAACGTGGGTCTTTTTCTGTGAGCGGGTAGGGTTCCCAATCCAATCTGACTGGTGCCCTTAAAGAAAGAATTAAAATGCACAAAAAAACACAAGGACCTTGATGTGGTGGAACACACCTATAATCCCAGCTACTTGGGAGGCTGAGGCAGGAGGATTCCAAGTTTGAGTCCAGCCTTGGCAATTTAGTGAGACTCTGGTTCAAAATAAAAAGGGCTGGGTATGTAGCTTGGTGGTAAAGTGCCCCTGGGTTCAATCCCAGCACCAAAAAAAAAAGAATAAAGGAAGTCACTTCAAGGTACTGTAGGTTAGAAACCGTACTGAGAATCAGAGGACAACCTTTGTTGTTGCTACAATATTGGCATTACAGGACATTTCTCTTTTTCTTTTCTGTAGTGCTAGGAATCAAACCTAGAACCTCATGCATGCTAGGCAAGTGTTCTACCACTGAGCTACAGCCCCAGCCCGGAAGATCTCAAAAAGCCTTTATTTATATGGGTTATATCTACTGATTTTGCCAAATTAGAAATTAAAACTGAGAACTTAAAAAAATGTTTATTCACTTAAAACAAAACATTATATGTTAAATAATTTCTTATGAAGTAACTATATTTCCCAAAGAACAAAAGAGAGTTAGTGAGAAGAATGGCATTGCTTTGCAACTTTACTGACTCCAAACGACGGGGAGCGAGAAGAACTGAGGTGAGCAGGTGTGCGTGTCCTGTCCAAAGCAGACAGTCCCTCTGCTTCAGGCCACTGTCTGTGCCCAGACTCTGGTCGTGGGCCATCACTCTGCAACATCCAGGGTCAACTAATTGTCCTCAAACATCCTGTGAGCATGGATAGGGATGCAGCTTCATGGTAGACCACTTGCCTAGTAAAATTGAGGCCCTGGGTTCATTCCTAGCACCAAGGAATTCTTTTGAACTCAGGCATCCCATATTTAGCTCAGACTGCGTTTTGTGGTACTGGGAATTGAACCCAGAGCCTTCATAAGAAGTTACATACCAAGTCTTTTATTAATTTTGGGGGCAGGGCCTTACTAAATTGTCAAACTGCCTAGGCTGGGCTCAAACTTTTGATCTTCCTGCCTCAGCTTCCCACAGTGCTGGGATTACAGGTGTGCACCTCCTCCCATAATAGTATTTTATTTAAAAAAATTTTTTTTGGTACCGGAGATCAAACTCAGGTCCTTGCCCTTGCGCAGCAGGCGGGGAAACCATTGAGCTAAATCCCCGGCCCATCCGATAGTATTTTAAATCCTTGTTTGTAAGAATGATAAGTAAAGATTGTTAAATGTTGTCAGTGGGCAATTTAGTTCTCTGGTTAACCTTCACTGCTAAATTTTGAAGAATTTAAGTCTACAAACAAGAACACTCTTAAAGTAGATTTAATTTAATTAAATTATTTATTTATTTATTTATTGGTACCCGAGATCGAACTCGGGTCCTTGGGCTTGCGCAGCAGGCAGTGAAACCACTGAGCTAAATCCCCAGCCCTAGATTTAATTTTAAATTCATTTTTTCTAAGCCATTAACTTTAATTTTCAGTCAAAAATTGATTAAAGGCAAAGTTTGAAGAATAGTGGGTGCTAGCAGGAATCAAAAATCACAGAAATTTACAAATTTTGGTGTGGTTCATTTAGCGCTCCTGAGGTTTACTAGAAGCAACGAATCCCCATCTGGTGGGCAGCACACTGAACATCCTGCACTGAGAACACCATGTTCCTGGTAAGAGACCACAGACGCTCTTCATGTTTAGGGTACCTCAAACTGGACTCAACCCACATTTACAAGGCAAAAAATCTACTT